CGTTAGAGCATAAAATAACATGAGATGAGTGCTAGCGAATAATGCATTACTAATTAGGCTTAAGATGTGTTTGTTTGCTAGCAAGATGACTAGCTCTGGTGCAGACAAAGTTAGGTGTGCACACTGTGTTGGGCATGTCACTCGTCGCTGTGCCAACCGGTTTAACCGATCCCCATCATTCACAGCATCGGTGCCCGGTGCAGTAGCTGGTAGGAGTCCCCCCTCTCAGCGCTCCTCCTTCTCTCAGCCGGGATGAAGTCCAGGTGCGGAGCGGCCCCGTTCCCCTGTCTTGTGGTGAGCCGGTAATGTGCTTGGTGTCCGTTGTGGGGCTTGCGGTGGCTGGAGGCTTCTGTCGAGGCGTTGTGATGGGTATATGGAGGTCCACCTTCTCGCCCCAGTGTCTGTGAGTATCTGTATCTGGCTGGGTTGTGCCTGGGGATTGGAGAGCCCCTGCCGTGGTATCTTCGCACAAGGATGGGTAGTGGTCCCCGTGGGGGGAGGGGGCATTTGGTCGGGTATTCCCGGGGGTTTGTTGCCGTTTGGTAAGTTGTCTCCCCACTAGTGGCCTGTTACTGACCTGCAGAGAATTGCAGCGGGTCTCCCACCTTCTCCTCCCTGCCTTCCAGACTGTGGTGTGGTCCTCTCCCGGAGCCGCTGGCTGTTGCGTGGCAACCTGTGGGAATGTTGCTGGTGGTGCCTCCGCTGGAGCCCTCTTGCGGGCTGAAACTTCGCCCAAAACTTGGCTAGCAGGCGTCCAGCCGTTCCGAGAGTAGTGGCAGTGGAGGATTGTGTTCTGGTTGGCACGTGGCGTCCACCATGTTGTACAGCGCCGGGGCTTCGGTGCAGTTACGCCCGGGTTAGGGCCGTGCACCTAGGTCGTGAGCAGTGTACCGGGATGTCCCTCTCCGGCGGGGGGTGGGAGGGATTGCTTCGGGGAGATCTCCAACTATGTTGGCTGCTTTCAGCAGAGCGATCGGCCGCTTCCCCTGTGCTGTCTGCCTAAGCCGCTTGTAGGCCTCAGGTTGATCCCCGGGATGTCTTCGCCGTTTTCAACCGCGTTCTTGTGTATGCTTTGTCTTTGTGGTAAGCCTGCGTCCAGAAGGTTGAAAGGCAAGCAAATTTAGGGCTCAGTGTCGATTTTTAGTTTCGTTCAAGCTTTTTCAGTGAGGAGCTCTTCTGATGTGCGGGCGTTTGGCTTAGCTGCTAGGTTACCCCCCTCAAAATGGACTTTTGAAGTACGTGAACAGACTATTTGTTATAATATTCCATGGACCCCTTAAGACCACAGCCAAATGTACAGGTTGTGATCAAAACAAAACGTAAACAAACGCTGGCATTTGGACTATATGTCTGTCTAACTGTAATTCACCTCTTTTATATTAAATGCACCCACACTTATTATATATCATTGTTAAGACACCTCTAGTGTCTTTAAGCCAAACCGCCGTTTAGTAGCCCTTACCCGGCTGCAGTACAGTCTCCGTTCGCTTACTCTGTAACACACGAACCAAATGCAGGGGAAGCGGCAATCTCCCGAACGAGATCCGTGAACGGCCCCAAACTCCCGAACGGCAATACACGAACTTCTGGTAACCGTCGAACAGCAATATTCACCAAGCGGCTTTCGTTCCATCCAGCAGTCTCTAAACGTGAAGAAGAAATCCCCCCAATAACGAGACAGAAGCTCCGCATTGAGGGTCAAACAGAATCTGGCTTTACTGTGGGCTACCTGCCCGTATTTATGCAGGTCTCCCACTTGGTGGACACTCCCCTAGGGGACCAAATGGGGGACTTAAATTACAGACAGATCTGGGGACATCCCAGACACACAGTCACAGATTTTACCCACAGTGCATTATGATTCCCTCCCCTCTGCCCTGGAGTTAATTACCAAGTAACTCAATTAACTCCAGGACAAAGCCAGTCGCCATCTTAGACATAAAATAATAAAAGACATAAAAATATATAACTACAC